AGTTTGTGGTTCACCAATGGCCAGGACTAAGAGGCTTTCAATATAAGCTCATGAGAGTTTTTATCAAACACGTGGTGTGTTCAAATAAGGTAGTGCAAGAGGTTAAATTGAGGAGAATTAAAATGGTAGTATTCGTTTTTAGGGGTGTAATTTAGATGGGGGTGGTGAAATTGTTGGTGGTTTTAGTGAAGAATTGGAAACTATGTTGGCAGGAAGGGTTTGTTATGAAGATGGAGATGTGAGGGGGAAATGGGTTGTTCTAGCATAAGGATAGAGGTGAAGGCACTGGAAAAGACAAGCATGTTTCTCAAAGTTATCTCCACCGGGGGGAAGGGAAGAACTCTACTGGTGAGAGCTGAATTGTGTGGCGCACTTTTCGAAAGCATTGCAATACTGGCAGGTAGCAGGTTTTTTTGGTTTGTTAACATGTCGCACCATACACACGTCATGCATGTTTCTACACAAAACCCAGAAAACTGATGCTATATAGACTAATCCAACCCAAATCGCAAAAATCATTTTTCTTTCCCCCTCCTCCCTCCCTTCTGCCCAATCACACCAGTAACCATCCTCGTTATATCCATACTCACCACGTTCGAGATCTCTACCTCTTTTGTTATGTTGATATTGTTGTTTGGTCATCTTCCTCTTCATGTTCTTCCATCTGAGGTTAACTCTTTTCATGGTTTGTTATTGGTGGCTTTCTTTTTGTTTTTGGTGACTCTTGTTTTGGCGGTGGGGCAGTGGGTGTTGGGTGGGTAGTTATACATGTGTGTGTATGTGTTAGTGTTTGGTGGGAGGCTTATTTGGGTGGTGGTTTCAAGGTGGAATTTAGTGGCCAAAAAGGAAGGCGGTGGTCCAGAAGGAAAATGCAAAGAAAAGTAGTGGGACATGGGTTGGATTTTGGTTACTTTGGCAATGTGTTTGATAACTGTTATGGCATGCATGTGGCATGTAATGTCAGTACCGATTGAAAATTCAAAGTGTTTGGCAATTGGAGGACATTACAAAAAAAATAAAAAGCACTATTGTGACCTTGTGAGGACAAAGTGCAACTGATTAAATTTTTTTAAGGGCAAATTTTCATTTGCACCACTTAAAAGATCAGGGACCCAAGAATTATATACACTCCTAAGAATGTGACGTATCTGTATGGTACATGTTAAGATATACTTTTCGAACTAGCGTCATATACTTTTTTAACCTTATTAATAAAAAAATAAAATTTTAATTTTGGACACGTAATCGGCAAGTCTAGGATAGCTTCAAATTTGGACAAACTAGTGATGCTAAAGTCATACTTTAAATTTTCTAATAAAAGCTAGTGATGAATAAAAGTTTTACTACAGAGGAGGACTTGAGAAAATGAGCGCTATCATTATAATTCTACATGTTTAGCACACATAGCCTATAGAAAAAGGATGATTATTGACTACTATGATCCATTAGTCTAAAACATAAGAGTTGTTATCATAATATATGGATTTTCTTGCATTTAAAATACTTTAACTAAGTCAATCTATAATTTATAATACATTAGCGTGTTTTGACGTGCTCGTGTCTTATTTTTGTCCTTTGTACATATCGGTGCTTGTGAGTCATTGATCCAATTGTGCACAACTTCCACCTAATAAAGATAGTAGTCACCGAATGAAGATCATCTCTACAATTATTCTTAGCCTTTCTTTCAAATTTGATATTTTTTTCCTATTTATAAATTAGCAAAAGCAAACGAGAACAAGATACGACGCTCATCAAGTTTATCAACTCTTCATGTATTTAACGAACCTTTTTTCAGTGATAGTTTTGCTAGGATGTAGAGGAAGTCAGTAACTTACTAAGAAAAATGTGAAAAAGAAGTATGGTTGAGTGACATACATTGGTGCTCACAATGGGGGAAGAGTGGGGTTTGTTTGGTCTATTGTCACTCCAAGTCTTGGGAAAATTTACTATACTCGTGATAGAAAATAATCTCCTCTGTTAGATCGTATTTGTAATTGGTTAATTTTGCGGAATTCATTGTAAATCTCAAAATTTTTCATGGTCATGATACTATCAACTTTAAGAAAGCACCATTGAAAGGATGAGATCAATCGTCAAAGCAACATCATTCAATCACCGTATTCACCATCATACATAGGACAAGGTAATGACCTAGACACTTACGATGAACCTTTAGTTATTTTTAACTTACGTTGATTGGGATGAAAATAGAATTAGAAATAATTCTATTATGACTCTTAGATGATTTTAGAAGAAAAGATTTTCTAAACTATTTATGAGTTTTAAAAATATAGTTTGAGTCACAATTGGAACTCTCATTGACCAACACCCTTTAATACTTTGTATGTTTTTATGCTTAAAATTTTTTAGCGGCCAATTTATGCTTGCTAACTTTCGCAAGAACGGTCTCTTTATAACATAGAAAATGAAATGGGAAAAGGTCAGGGAAGTAGGGATGTCATTGGACTGAAGCGGGGGCGGGGGTTGTAGTCTCCATTCCCGTACTCGCTTAAAAAAACTTCATCATCCCAAGTCTACCCCGGTTAACGGATATAGTTTTCATCCCCTATCCCCGTCTGTGGGTAAATTTTTAATCTCCGTCGCTGTCCCCGTTGCCGTCCCTGATTCCCTTCTACCCGCCCAAGCCCAAGGTCTTTATGGAATAATCAATTAAGTAGAAACCAAACTATAATAAAACAAATCTACACTCATTATGGAATAAATTGGACTAATCTCCATGCCCTAACGAGGGTCACTCAAGAAACAACATGATCAAGTGCTATGTTACACAATAATTATGAAAATAGCATGATCACATGGGCGACATTTAATTTATGACTGATCGATATGCATATTTAACATCATATCACTATCAAATAATCTTATAATGCACTTCTAACTATAATGATGAAATGACCCATCCAATGGAATTCTACATCCAAACAGGTTAAGGGTATACCAGTTATATGTGATTAGCGAAACAAGAAAAAGATGATACACAGATCAATAATCTATTTACTTCTTTGTCCAATCTAGTTAAAGGTAGAAAGACATTCAAGCAATTATGACTCTATATCGCATATTATCTATGAAATACACAAAAAATAACAATAATGTGCTAAATGATAAACATACTAACACATCACATGTCGAAATAACGACGTCAAACAGAATCATATAATTTGTATTTTTATAGAAAAAATTTAAATTTTAAATGAAATTTCCTCCACTAACCTAATCCCTATAAAGCATTTTTTGCAATTAGAAGTTTTAAACACTAAAATTTGACTTTAGTCTAGAAATATAAAATAATAAACAATTAGTTCTGAAAGAAGTGCACTAATTAGCAAGATATATATAAAGATTGAAGGGGATCTTTTGAGAAGGTAGAAGAAGAGATTCTGATTTGTGTTCCTTCCTAGATGTAGTAGGAACAAGAAAAACAAGATAGGCAAAAATGATTTATCGATGATGTGTCCGTGCTCGTGTATGGAGGGAGAGACGATGGAAAGAGAAAGACAGAGGGATGGAGGCGGCTGATAGAGGAAGAGGAGAGTAAGTTAGGGCTTTAACTGGGAGTATATATATATATTTAACGGGTATAACAAAGATGGGGCCGGGCGGGGCGGGGGTAAGGGTAAGTCCATCTCCGCTTTCATCTTCCCGATCCATTGCTATCCCTACAGGGAAGGCAACACAAGGTTTGCTCTATTACCTTGCTCAAGCGGTGCTTATAGTCGCTCGAGCATTGTTTGCCTTAGTTGGAAGTGGAACGTGTTTTTCATTCCAACGACAACTGTTTTATGATCGCCTTTTCACCAATCGAGCGTTGTTTCGCGACTTTGAGCTTTTTTATTTATTAAGACTATTCTTATTTCGGACTTATATATAAGAAGAGTCTTTTCTAAGAGAGAAAATCATCTTTTGACCTTGAAAGTTTTCACCACAATCTAGATCTCTAAGACTCAAAAGGCTTCCACTACAAATTCTATTCAACCTCACAACTTGGAGAAGAAGATCTTGATGGTTTGATAAACCCATTTGTGTGTGCATACTGGGGATTGTTGGTATGCCCATGGTTGCTCAAGGCCTAAAGATCCGTGTAGTGGTGAAGTCCAAGTGAAGCGACACTAGATATTGGAGAAGGTCCTTCGATGAAGAGACAATAAGAAAATAAGCATTTAACCATGGTATTGGTTGAGATATAAGTCTCGAATATTTGTATATTAACTTAGAGAGTAGTGTATTAGACTTTAGTAAATTGAGAAGGTTCCTCGCAGTTTTTTTCGATGAGGGTTTTTGTGTTAACAAATCACTTATTTTTTTTTAAATAGTTTATTCATATACATTTGTGATTGTTTGAACACATGTGCGCTATGTTTGAAATTTGATTGATTGATATCTATTCATCTGTGCAAGTTTGGAGTTTTGAGATCGACATGAGATTGATTACGAACGAATTAATTAAAGATTAATTTAATCAATCGTCATGTGCAAAATGGGTTATGGTGTGTAAAGAGGTTCTCACCATAGTTGTTATTATTGTACGATATGCGATGCGATACATAACATGAAAAAAATAATTATGTATCGCTTAAGTTTATCGGTTTGTACTGTATCGTGCAATACATGATACGATTCGATATACTCGATACAAGACAATACATATGAGTTGTCTAATAAAGAGCGAAACATATCAAAAAATTTTTTATTTGAATTTTAATTAGAAAATCACTCATTTTCACTTGGAAGTAATTTTTTCAAACACTAGGTAATGAACAACGTCATTTCACTATCTATAATTTAAAAAAATAAAAGTCTTTTTTTTTATTCGTTCAATGGTAGGAGTAAATAGTTTAATTGTTAAAAGTGTCATCCTCTGCTACTTTAGATGTTAGAACTAGAACTCTCTAAATTTTGATATTGATAAATTATGTTAGAAATTTCAAAACTTAGATTGTTAATTTTTTATTTTGGTTCTTGTAATCTCTTTAAATTTTTTTATGTAAGAAATTTATGGTGAAATAAAATGTTATTATGACATTTTTTCATAGGTATATGTATATTTAGTATCTTTTATAAAACTGCAAGTATCTTAGGATACACGATACGTTACGATAGCAGTACACTATTTTTGAAAAACGATATGCCTTCCGATACATGTTTTGACTTTGGTTCTCACATTAATTGCTAACTCTTTTTGGGAAGTGGTAATTGTGGTGAGTTAGGTTTTAATTGGTAATCAATTGAGCGTAAAATTGAAAAACCTATTCACCCCCAAGGTATAGTTTCTTGAGCTTCACATGTGCAATTGTGAGAGAAATTCCACTACGTGTTCCCCCACCTGTAACATCATCCTTGCAGATTATGTCAGTTTCACAAGGTCAAGAAGTATGGATCCCAGGTTTACTGGGGATCTATAGGATGAGGTGCTACAGCCCTTCTTTATATTTGCAAAGGGGAACTTTGTGGGGAACTCTTTCTGTATGGTGCCTGGGAGGGGGATTTTTAGTTTTTTTTTTTGTAAGACTATTCAGCAGACTACTGAAAAAAATAGCTGATCAAATTTCTTTCTTCCATTGGACATTAGCAATTGAGATCTTGATAGCTGGCAATTTGGTAGAAAGGGCAATTTTTATCACTAGCTAGTGTTGTATGAGCCAAGGTACTGATAACATAGTCAAATCATCTGTTGTTGCAGGGACTGTGGCTCTTCTTTCCTCCTTCATTTCTCCTTGGATCCTGCCTTGGTCAATTCTGGTTGTATTGGTAACAGGAATGGATGCAGACCCAAAAGGACGACTAAAGGGCATTGCATATTTTGTTTAAGTGTATCAATCGGTATTCATGTTTGTGGGTAATGGTGCATGAGTGGAGCCAATTTTTTAATTTGAAACATAAGCCACTAAGTTCGCTTTATAGTTGCCTTTCATATTTTTAGTATGGAAAGATCTTCTATATTGACAGATTTTTTTTACTAGTTTCTTGTTTTCTACCAAAAATATAGATCTTAACAACCTCAATTTGCTTAAAAGCTTTTTCCCTACACGTATTCTCTTCGTTGCTTTGCTCTATCTGGTGCCGTATCATCTATTGTACCACAGGGTATTTCATCTATTTTATGATTTCAATTTGCTTTCAATTCTGGCATTTTTCTTCGCTTAGCATAAGCACTAATGATGATTAGGTCTCCTTTTGCCCCTCCAACATGTGTCTTCTTTTCTTCATGTCAATATATGTGTCGAAACTCCTTTTTTCCCCCAAAACTCATTATGTAGTTTGAAAAATCTACACCCACATATTTGCTGTATTCTTGATTTCTGTTTTATTATTAACTCGTAACATCTCATTGTATAACTCATAATTCAAGTAACCCTTGCTCTTGATAATGTCCAATCTCAATCCCAGATAAATGATATCTTGTGCAAACCATGCATAGTGTCGTATTTCAGTATTATTGATCTAGCTGTTACCACTGGTGTTGCTTTAACTCAAAAACTTTTCCTATTATAATAAATATTAATAATTGAATTCTATCTAATTCAAAAGTCAGATAATAGCAACTGAGGGACATGAAACAGTTATGACACTTCTCTTTGGCTGAAGATGAGGCTTTTTGGCAGAGGTCCATTGACTTTGTTTTAGGCTTCAAAGTAGGTATGAGTTTTCTGCTTGGGCCATGGTAAATTCTGATTTCAAGGGAATGGGTCCATTACCATAGTTTTGCTACCAAGGGAACTTTTATCTTGATTGATGTGCAGTAAACTACTGTTATTTTCTCGTGCTTAGCTTTTCCAGCTTTATGTGTTGTTTTAGTGTAAAAGCTGCAAGCAAAGTACTTCTTGTCAGGGTTGGGTTTGTTGCCAACGTTTTTCTAAAGAAAATCCATTTTCTTGTATTGAATTTTATATTATTCTTGATTTTAGTCTTTGGCACCATGATGCTCCCTAATTGAATTTGGTGTTGACCTTGTTTTAGAGTGAATACCTGATACCTACTTTTGTCCTTATAACTGATCTCAATTATTTTTTAGGTGCATGAAATACGTGACCTTTGCTGGTATGGGATTCCATATCGAGGTGCTTCATGGTTAAGAGAGGAGCCCATGGAAAAAATATGGGAGCGCGTAATCTTAGTACCAGCATGTGGTGGTTTGATTGTTGGCATGTTGAACATGCTTCGAGGCACTCTAGAGGTCCCTACAGAAGGTATTTTGATATCTCGAATAAAAGCTGCACTGGAACCAATTTTGAAAACTGTGGCTGCTTGTGTCACCCTTGGTACGGGGAATTCATTGGGGCCGGAAGGACCAAGTGTCGAGATAGGTGCATCTATAGCTAAAGTAGTGGGTATTTTGTTTGATAGAGGTTCTCATAGAAGGCTTTCTCTTCGGGCTGCCGGGTCAGCTGCTGGAATCTCTTCTGGTTGGTGCTCTTAGTTGTTGTGATTTGTGGCAATCGTCATTTTGCATGCATTCATATGGTCCTTTCTTGACTGAATGATCTACTCTGATTTTTGGATTGTAGAAGTCCTCCTATGATGCCCAGTTTGATGTGTGATAACACAGTGGAAGTGTTGGAAGTTTTTAGACTTGATTTTGGATGTCATGTACTCCTTCATATTCGATGAAAAAAATTAGCGTTTGTCCTCTTTTATTTCAAATTCTCCCATTGCTTCTGTATTTTAAGGCAAATATAATCAACCCATTGAGAAGTAATATTCTCTTGTTATTTGTCCTTTATTTTGTCTGAAGTGTGATTGTTATGTTTATGCCTTACAGGGTTCAATGCTGCTGTGGCTGGTTGCTTTTTTGCTGTAGAGTCAGTTTTATGGCCATCACCAACAGAATCATACTTGTCACAGACAAATACAACTTCAATGGTCATACTCAGTGCTGTAATTGCTTCAGTAGTTTCAGAAATTGGTCTTGGCTCTGAACCTGCCTTTACAATCCCAAATTATGATTTTCGTTCACCAAGTGGTAAGTTTTTTATCCACTTCTTTATGTTTTCTTTATTGCATGACACACTCCCACACACTAAATTAGGGGTGATGATACCTTCATCAGACCAGGATAAGTATATCTATTAATGCATACCTTGTTCTATTTCATCACAGCAAACTGGTTATCTATTACTATCTGTTTTCTTTTACTTAAATTGCAAGGAAAGATATTAATGTCCTTTCTAAAAGACAAAAACCCACTTATGATAGTTGATACAAGCATCTCCAATGGCATGCAATTTGGTATTTCAATGCCAAAATTTGGCATAGATGGCAAAAAAGCATAGCCAGTGTGTTAAGAGTTCTTTTTTATATTAGATGTAAGTTAGCTAGTAGGGCGGATCTAGTGCACGAGACTTCCGTCATTGCAGGGCCTGGTCTGATGAAGGCATTTTTGTTCACCAAGTGCTGTTGCTGTGATTTGAACCCGTGACCTCTAGGTCATAATGGAGCAATCTTACTGTTGCGCCAACACCGGTCCTCAAGTATGATTCAATCTCTAGGTTATGTTATTTCAGGCCACAAACAATTAGTGTGTGTCGTTTGAAGAAGACATTATATGGATTGAAATAGTAACCACGTGTTTGGTTTGATAAGTTAATACTGTGGTAATTCAGTTTTCATTCATCGATTTTTCGCATGCACTATTATTGTTATTATGTATGTCAATGACATAATCATCGATGGGAATGACTTGGATGATATTGCTAACTTCAAAGCTTATTTGAGGAAGCAATTTCATAAAAAAAGATTTAAGTATTCTTTGGTATTTCCTAAAGAGTGAGGTTCCTCAATCAAAGCAAGCTAGTAGTTTGTGCTAACTGAAGTATATTCTAAACTTACTATTTGAAACTGATACCCTTCGTGCGATGCCGATTGATATGTCTATGGACCCAACAGTTAAGTTAGATCCTGAGAGTGGTGAAGTCTTTTTTTTTTTTTTTGGTACATTGGAAATTTAATGGGGAGTAGTTTGTGTCAACACAAGAAAGGTCAACCCTAAGGTCTTGCAAAACTTGGTGAGGTGGGACAACACAAAACCATCACCCAGCTGTTCCCCCATGTTAGTGAGGATGTCAATGCAGTGATTGCCTTCACGCTAGGTGTGAGCCATTGGAAATTGCTTCATTTGCATCAGGTGTTGGCAATTAACAATTAACGCCTTGTTTGGATGGTCTTCATCCAATGGGCTTGTAAGGATGTTGAAGGCTTCGAGGGAGTCAGTTTCAACAATTACTCTGTTGAAGTTCGAGTTATGTGCAAGTTCCTGTCCTTTCTGTAAAATCCGGATAAATTTAAATTTTTATGAAAAAAGGGTAAAACGGTAATTTACTACTACGCTATAGGTTGAAAACCTGAACATTACCATTGGATTCGACTAGCGAAATCTAGTTATCCGGTCAATTTTCAATGAATTTTGAGACAGTTAAATTTTTTAAATTTTACGAGGTGATCAAGTGTTGCATGTCTTGAAAATGAGACATGAAATTAAATTTTAAAAATTGAAAAATAATTTCAAGGAAGTTCATATAAAAATATTTTAAACTTGAACCGGGACAAAATTTAATTATTTTGGGAAGACATTGGACCCAGGAGGACGTGTGGCGCGACAATGGCCAAGCATTCTAAGAGGTATAAATAGGGGAGAAAATTAGATTTTCTCCCCATTTTTTAGCTGGGTTTCGTTGGAGAGGGAAGAGAGGGAAAAGAAGTTTTAATTTCTCTGTACGATCTACGGCTACCCGTTGGTTGGAATCGTTCGGGCTAAGAATTAAAGTTTATCTAAGCAATGAAGATTATGATTACGTACCAAAAATTATGGATTTCACCAAAGATTAAAAAACGGGATTTTGGAAAAAGTCAAGGTTTGAGCTTGGTTTGTGTTCTTGAAGGTTTCTACAACTTGTTTTTATGTTTCAAGAGGTAGGGTTCTTTCCTAATTAGGTTTATTTTTAACCTAGAGTTGTTATATGGAATGAGTAGTGTTTAGAGGTGTAATCTTTTGTGTGACACTTATATGATAGTTGAAATGTGAAGAGTGGGTATAGAAATGGGTAAAATCAATTCTAGTTTGAATTGGGTATGTAGAAATTACTTGATGTGATTTATTGAGAAATGTGATATATGTGAGTGTTTGATAAAATGTCTTGAATGATGTATGTGGGTGTTTGATAAAATATCTTGAATGATTGAAGTATGTTGTTTTGATGAAATTGGAATAGCATGCTTGCATAATGTTGTAAATTGTAATTATATGCTTATGATATAATTGACAATTGAGAATGTTGAATAAGATGAAATATTGTTCTTAATGTGCACATGACATATGGAACATGATGTTGAAATTGTAATTTGGATCGTAGTTGTATAATGATATGAAATGCAATTTTACATTTACATTGCATATGCACGGGAAACATTGTATTCGTGGGCATTGACATGAGTGTGGGTGTGTGTGCATGTTGTTGAATCAAATACTGTTCTTGGTGGATGATGCGTGGGCTCGGGATAGTTGGACCGAGATTTGACTGAGTCGACGGTTTGCATTGAAAATAGGGTCGGTGTTAGCAAGAAGGGCTAGATTGTCCTTCGGGTGCAAGACTTGGTGAGTGGATAAGCACTTCGTAGGTGTAGAGTCCATAAAGTGTGTTGGCGTACTCGGAGCCGTTGACATAGTCCATTAATGCCGTGTCGGTTGGGTGCCCGTTAGTGTGAGTCCATAAATACCCACCCCAAGAAAGACTTGAAAATTTTAAAAGGTCATTGGATGTGTAACATCAATGGTGGGGGCTTGGAATGCTCGGATTTATACGCATGAAAATGCACGTGTGAGGGAGTCGGTGAAGGCTCAGGTTGAGTTGCATGTGTGAGTTTTATTTTATATCATGGCATGACATAGATGATTCTATTGTTGAATTGTATATTATTGAATAACGTAATGTAGCTTGTGATTTGTATGTGAATATTTCATATGTGTCTAGGTTAGAGAGTAGCCTCTTTAGGAGATACCCTATTGAGCGTGACTTACCCTTTATGGAGACAATATTTCAAGTGCGGGACATACGCCGGTAGACTGTTCTAATATGTACTAGTAAGTTAAAAAAATATTCTAATAATATATGTTTAAAGTTTAGTGTGCCTTTAAATAAAAACATTCATCATAAATGATAATAAATATTTTCGGTAGCGTCCTTATAATTCTTTTTTTATTATGTTTAATATATTAAATAATGTATTTTTGAAATATAATGCATGAATGATGATATTTACATATTTTAAAATTTTTTATGATTATTTAAATTTTTTTTGGGTGTTTTATCTAGCGTTTTGAGCATATCAGCCGATACCACATTGCGACCGATGTGTATCAGTGCCCTCCTAGTCGATGGCCGATATCGCGACTTTGAACCATGATAGCATTGGCACACTCAATATGACACAAAACCGTCGGAGATGCTCTAAGGATTTAAATTCAAGTTTATTTAAACTAACTGAGATATTTAGGTGATAATAACTTTTGCCCATTTGAAACAGAAGCTGAAAGGGTCATTGTTGGTGCAGTAGTGAAAATATAGAGCTAACATTGTACGATTGTGGGTTCGAACTTGAGTGCTGCCATTTTGTACAAATAATACCAAATAACTGGTCAATACTAGGTCTACCCTTTAACACATTCGACTTATAGGAGACCAAGTTGATTACGACCCTCATGACCCTATAAATGTTTTGCAAATATAGGCTTAGTACCTTTTCTTGTTGATCAGGCACCTAATCTATTTGTCAATTCGTTAAGAGGTGCAAGCCCAAACTTGTGGCTCATTTTAGCAAATGCGCTAAAAATGTAAACCCGAGTCCTTGAAAAAATTTGGACAGTTTCAGTCAATTTGGTGCATTAGGTCAAAAGTTGCACTCTGCACTAAAGTGGGTGAGCATGTAAGCTTCCACATCTTCAAACTTGGCAGACCTCTCCTCCTGTAGGTTCTTGTTTGGCAAATTTGTCTTTTGAGTTTATTCTTTTTGAATCTTACTATTTTTTTTGGTCAACAATAATTCTTTCACTTATAGTGACTCTCTTATGCATTAGTGTACTGTTCCCCATCCCCTATATCTGTCGGATGATATTTGGTGAATGGGAAAAATAAGATTCCAATTGGCTAGATCCCGCCCAAGGAGAACATTATGCAGAAATAACAGAGGCTAGATAACATCAAAAGGATTCAAGTATGTTAACAGATTAAATAAGAACATTTGAAGTCCTTAGGTCCAAATCAAATTGAAGGTGAATAACAATGGAATATAATCAAAGGTTTGATGTGTAGTCAAATGCGGAAAATAGTTATTTGGGAACTGTTTCAAGTGTAGAGGCTCATATGAAAAATGTCCTATGAATTATTATTGACGTTGGCGAGAGTGAAATTATGAGATATGTAAAAAATGAAAGTGATGCTCTCTTCCATATTTTGGTGGTTATCTATGCTGGTGAGGATAAAACTACATTATTTTTTCTAGGCTTGTCAAAGTCCGACACGATACGATTAATCAACATGAATTAAGTAGGTTTAGGTAAGACTTTAACGGGTTTGGGTGGTAAATGGGTTGACCCGCCAGGCATGTTTAATAAACGGGCTGTCTTCGTTTATCACTCATTTATCCGTTTAAATAAAATTAATACAATAATAAATTAATAATTATTTTAAAAAATTAGTGATGTAGATCGAGAAGGTCTAGCATTCACAGAATATAAAAAAAATAAGAAAGAAGAAGGGGTGAAAGGGGTTTACCTCATCCTCGCAAGGAATCGGTGAAGCACGCAAATC